ATATGTTTGACAACCGTTTTACATATGTTGACCATATTAATTAGTACCAGTAGTACCATCTATCTTCATTACTCATCAAAATTGCCCCACCTCGTCTTCAATCACCGATCCAGGCATGGCGAAAGATCCTGCAAACATCAAAATGGTGGTGACATCTCTTTAAAAAAAGGATCTATCCTGATGAACAAATCCTGATAATCCTGATAATCTTGCTTGGTTATCTCTCAAAAAAAAAAACATCTACCCTGATGCACTGATGATCATTTCATGGATCTAAATCAGCTGCACACCTGGCAGAAGCGCCGCACCATCTCCAATCCTGGAAACTGGAACCCGGGGCAACCCAAGGGTTTTTTACTGTGACGTGATGGATGTTGTTTCAAATGTATGTGTATGTATATATATATTATTAGTTACACATATATATATATATATAAATATAATATGGATACATGTATGTATGTATGTATGTATGTATGTATGTATGTATGTATGTATGTATGTATGTATGTATGTATGTATGTATGTATGTATGTATGTATGTATATTTATTAGCATTTCCAATAAATTCTTATATGAATTATATTTAAACAAACTCAGTTTCTACACTAGAATAGTCCAACTAAGAAAAACATGAACATGCATCAAATGCTATCTACTCCAGGGCAACTGTATATATATATATATGTATATATATATATACACGCATAGTGACATAGTGGTATATATATATATGTGCATAGTAGGCCCAACAAAGATGAACAAATAGATTTACCACCATTGTTGTCTGGGGTTGCTATGTGTACCTATCTTTTGTACATACATACGTTACATTACATTACATTACATTACGTTGCTTTGCATTGCTTTGCATTGCATTGCATTGAATTGCATTACATTTCATTGCATTATACTACATGACATTACATTACAATACATTACATCACATTACATTACACTACGTGACATCACTCACATCACATCACATCACATCACGTCACGTCACGTCACGTCACATCACATCACATCACATCACGTCACGTCACGTCACGTCACGTCACATCACATCACATCACATCACATCCCACACATGCACATACACATTCACATACCATACCATACGATACAAGTACCATAACATACCGTACCATACCATACATACGATAACCCTGAAAACCATTGTTTAGCAGTATTTTCCAGCGGGCATGGCCATAAATTGGGTTATGTTACTGTGTGACGGAGTTGCTCGTTGACAGGTGTATTCATGTGTAATTCTTGAAGTCATGGGCAAGAATGAAGTCATTAAGCTACCATTGTGGTCATGGTCATCCCTTTTCGACAACCACTGAAGTTGCCCTCAAATATGTTTGCACTTCAGACTTGTCAGGTGTTAAACTCACTGAGAATCACTCTCAGTTTCAGCTTCGAAACTGTCAAGGCTTCCATGATTCCATCGTAAGACTTTTCTGGTGGCCATTTCTACCAATGATTCAGTTGATTCGATGTTTGAAGCCACCAAAGGATTTATCATGGGCTGTTCCCAACTGGCCTCCAAACGGACCACCAATGCCAGGAATGTCAAGAAATAATCGGACATAAATCACAAAACAAATTTTCTTTATTGCATTTGGGTCTGGATATTCTTGATGATTTTTAGATTTCCAATACCTGAAATCACATTGATTCCACACATATTAGATATGATATTCTGACATAATTTTAGACATCTTTGAAATAACGAATGATGATTCCCCACATATCCATAAAGAAATACATCCAAATTGAGATTTTGGTGATTTTAAATGATCATTAATACATCATTAAAAATGTGACCAAATACTAGATCTTTGATGATCACATTGATTCCCCCATCCGCCTGGTCGGAGCCAGCTTGATGACCATGTTCTCCACGGTGTGCCCAGTGGTATCACACCTGCATAGGCAAAATTGTCAAACAGATAGGTTTGTAATTTATCACTATTCTACCAGGATTATACTTTTCTATTTTACAAGTCTATGTCATTTTGGAGTTTGCTATAATGTACCCAGGGCTGTTCCCAAAACCTGAGACACAAGTAAAGTGAACTGGGTATATGGAATTGTAAAATGACATCCTTTCCACCCTTTACCCCCTTTGTGGCTATGAATCACTTATGATATGTTGGAGTAATCCTGATACCCTTTCGTATCTTTGGTGATAAAAAAATGTCATTGACACATCCCCCATTTGCAGAGACTGTCCGAAAAAAACATGATGGGGATCCAGCATTGCCCGTCTGGATTACCAGGCAGTATGTCCAAAAGTGGTCAATCAAAAAATTGGTTGGTTGAAAAACACTACACAAAACTGGACATACCCAACCTACAGTCACCCAACTGGATTCGTTACTTTCAGTTTATCATAGTTTATCAAAACTAACAAATTCACAAAACATCTGGTCAAGCAAACCATACCCTATGACCCAACGCCATCCTTTGCTCGCAGGAGTATGAATCAACATACAGAGCGCCGGCGGTTTTGCATTTTTTTCTACTCATTTGGTGCGTGAAAAACTGACAACTATATGGTGCTTAAATGTTATACCAGATAGTCCCCGGCACGCGCCGGGGCGAAAGTTTCGAGACTGGGAGATGTTTATTTGAAATCAATGGCCTATAGGGACGTTTTTGAGTTGCAGAAACCATGAACGGTCGAACTTGTGAGGTGCATCAACGAATGAGCAAATGGTCATTGAGATGCCAAGGAACTGACATGAAAGAATCCGTACAAAATTAAATGAATGAATCACTGAACCATGGGCCAATGAATCGATGATCCAGTGAAGCAATGAATCGATGATTCAACGAAACAATGAATCAATGAATCAATGCATGAATGCTTTAGTGAGTCGATAAAGCAATGAACGAATGAGTGGTTCGATGAACCAATGCATCAGTGAATCAATGAATCACTGGCTCAGTGAATCAACGAATCAAGGAATGCAATGCCAATAAACCAAAGAATCAATGAATCCATGAATCAATGAATGAAGGAATGGATGGATGAATGGAACGGATGGATGGGCGAGGTATTTTTTTTGCTGAGCTACTTCTTCACTGAGCGACCTCTTTGCTGAGGCACCTCTTCGCTCAGCTACTTCTTCTCTGAGCAGCCACTTATCTGGGCTACTTCTGCTCGGAGCTCTTGTGTAGCTTCTGCAACCCAAGTCTTCTCTTCGCGCAGCTGTTATACAATGCGTTTACTCCAGCTGCAATCCCGCATCGCACAGGAGTAGCGCTATGGTCAAGAATTGCCTTTCGCGCAGCTGTTACAATGCATTTAGCAACTTCCAGCTGCAATCCCGCTTGCTAGCAGCGTCCCTAGCATCACTCATGCTTTGCTGGTTTTGTCACAGCCGGTTGCCAACCCGCAAAATCCCGCATAGCAGGAGCGTATGACCAAACAATGGGGACGATTCCGCGGTACCCCGAGAATGTTTGTTTTAAAAAAAAATTAACGACCTTTATGTGAAACCGAGCTCTCGCTAAAGTCTCACACACATTTTGCCAACCTCATCTTCCAAAAGTGCTCCGAACGCCTCAGTTTTTAGGGATTTGAAGTGCAAACCGAGCTCTCGCCATTCCTGTGCACTTTTTGTCGACAACTTTCCCAGATCGAGCCGCGAGCCCGCGGAAACAGAGACCCTACCTCGGCGACCCCAAGAGCCACATTACCCGAAAAGCGCAGGGTTTCCAACCCGAGAGTGTTTTCACCCGTGAAGTCACATGCTTCCGAACTGTTACACTTCCCAACTGTTTGATGATGGGTGGTTGACATGTTGATGTGGTTGACATGATGATGGGGTTGACATGTTGATGTGCTTGACATGATGGAGGAATGCTAAACATGACTATCGTCCGTAACTCGGAAGTTTTCTGGCTGAACTTCCTTTGATTAGCTATGATTGGCCATCTCTGCAAATAGGGTCGGTATATGATTCCCCCTAAATCCACTAGTCAATAATCATGTTTCTTAAAATGGCATCATTTCATGGGATTTTATGGAGTTCTGTGGAATTTCATACGATCTTCATGTGATTTTCCTGGATTTGCTTAAGGATGTTCTTGCTCCGCCGCGCCCTTGAGGATCCAGACCCGGAGCCAATGGCCACATGGTCCCCCACAGTGAGAAGATCATACTCCACGATAAGGCCACTCAAGTAGCAGTCCTGAAAACACCACTGGGTGATTTCTGGGCCTACCGGCAAGGGGATCACTGATATGTAGATGTGCATCTGATATGTATATCTGATATGTATATCTGATATGTGTATCTGATATGTATATCTGATATGTATATAATCTATATATATTGCATACTTCTATAATATATAGATAATGTATATTGTGATATATTGTGTATGAATATTGAGAAATGTAGATCTATGATGTATCTATCTATCCATTCATCCATCCAAATGTAGTATCAACTATATAAAGTTGAAGTGATACATTTCAGGAGGTGTTTCCATTGCATAAACCAACATCTACGGTGAGGTCGGGCAGTGAAGTCGTTGTCTATCCGAATGACCCAGGTTTTGTGGCAGTTTTGGGTTGCTGTCAATTATAATACCCATTATCTGCTTGGCATAGAACCCACTAGTGAGTGACAAAGTTCATACCAATTTTTCTCAGCGAAATCGTGGATTACCAACCAGTACCCACAATCTAACCAACAAAGCCACCATTTAATACTATTCACCCATCGTTCTGCAGACAAAATGTCGGTGAAGTGATTGTACACTACGCACCAGTGATGGTGAGGTGAAGTTCCAGTTATAATTGGATACATAACTATAGCTATAGGAGGTTGTAGCACGTTATTATATCCCAACTTATGGGGGTTATCACCACTGTTACGCTCTGGGATCCTCTGGAAACTTAACATAGTAACATAGCTATGGTTTTTTTTCCGGAAAATCAAGATGTTAGCTCTCTTCAAAAACTGTAAATCATCTATATTACATGGGCCACTTTCCACTTAAACTGCTACCGGGTAGATCCCCTGAAATCCCATCACCTCCCGAAACGGAACGGTCCTTTCCGATCTTCGAGCCACATGCGCGAGCCACCCAGACCTCGAAGATGGTGCCATGGAGACATTCTTGCAGAGCGCTGATGCCTGGCGTCGCGACTCGACTGTGTCTTGAGGACGTGTGCTATTCTATATGTAATATTTAATACATTGTAAAATGCATGAATATTTGATGCATATGTATATCTAATTATATATTAATCTAAGTATTATCAATTAGTTATATAGAATCTGCAATCATTGGCATAGTGTGGTATTAAAATATGATCCTTTGCATCAACTTGTGGACCGATCCGTGCTTCTCAGATTGACCAGAAAGGCGGAAACTGAAGAGCCAGCACGCCTGATCCGCAAATCATGATGATCATCCAGCGTGTCTTAGATGTGCGGAGCCAAAAGCTTGGTATGGATCAAAATTATGGAATCATTTGTTCACAAGGGTGAATTGGACTTTTCTGAACTTCAGCTGATAGAAGCATGTAGAGACATATGAAGACATATGAAGACATATGAACAATGGAAACCTAAGAAAAGTTACTTTAGCTCCAGCGATTCCATTCGTGTGTCGCAACCCATTCCAAACATACAAGCAGTACATTCAGGATCATCACAGGTAGTAGAGTGGAAAACATAAAAAACACATGAAAGCACACAAACCAAAATTGTTAGAATCAAACACACCTAACAAAACACTCCCATCTGCTGCAAGTCGGCAAAACCACAAATAAGTGCAACAGCGCGACATGATAAGAACCAAAGAATTGATATTCTCCAGCCTGCCAAAAGCGTCAATAGCTCGTCAAAATCATGACCCTCAATCACCACCCTAGCATATACCACTTGCTACTGACAGCCATCCACATGACTCGAAAAAGGGTCATGTAGTTTCCTTTGAAGTATCAACCCATCTGAATCATCTGAAACCATGAATCTTGAACCGTTTCCAAAGGGACCGTCAGCTAGGTTCAGACTGCACGGTCCACACAAGGGCTCCTTGTATTTGCCAATGATGATCCATTTCAGCGCAATGTTTGAGAGGAGCCTCAAAGAATATCGATGCAATTTTTAGCAATCGCGGAACCTAAAGTGGAATCAAGTAATACCAGTACTGTAAGACCAATCGTGACTGAGATGAGACACGCCAGTGAAATTGGGCAGGTCGTTTGTGGAACATCGCTGCCTCTTTGACATCACAGCTTCCATCTGGTTTTCGTCCCAGAAAACAGAACTTCATCGAAGAGGAGGTTCCTTTGGAGAGAGATCTTCTACAACAAATGTTCTGCTGTCTTGTGCTCCTGCGCCAAATTATCACCAAGTAGCAGAACAAGTTCGATGAAATTGTAAACCTCGGAGCCATCCGTTGACCGAGGAGGGTTCAAGCACCGGACATCGGACTGCTGGCTCCTAAACTAAGGCTTCTACAAATGGAGTGACGATCAGCAAGGCCAAAACACCATCCTGAGACGATGCAGAATGTCACCTGTAAATTAATGATTTCGATGGGGGTACCGTGATCCCTATAGGCAATTTAGCGCTTTGGTCCCAGATGTTCCCACAAAACTGTAGCAATATAAGTAGCAATCAACCAGAATTTACCAATCCAGTTGACATGATGGATGAGTCATGATGAACGGCTTGAAACGGACCCCCCAAATAAAGGGATAAAGGCTCCAGGTTCTGACCCCAAACGATATCTCCATCCCATTTCCGCACAACTCATCTAGACCCTCTGGCTTAGTACTGGATCGAACGAAAATCTTCGGGTCCTATATGAGGAGGTATCTAGTATGACATTGGCTTTTTCTATCATCCGCATTCCAGAATGGTTAAACATTGTTTAAATAATGTTTAATTTCACTATATTTCACTGTTTTTTGCCACCAGATGATGTGTTTTTGGCCCAGATTCCGACTCAAAGTCCCAAACTGATGTCACGCCAAAGTAGGTCGCCACCCAGGCGGCCTCCGGGAGGGGATTCGCGCACCTCGCAAGGCGTCTCTTTGTTACATCGGCCAAACGAGGCGTATGTTTGTTGCTGTGCGAATGTACCCTCTGGTAAACTAACATAACTATGGAAAATCACCATTTTCAATGGGTAAATCCAGTATAAATGGCCATTTTCAATAGCTATGTTAAATTACCAGAGGGTAACATAGACGTTTTCGGACTTATTGTAAACAAGAGCAACAAGTATGGAGAACTGTAACATATAATATAACACACGCTAACATATTGTAAGCTACCAAAGCAAGCTTTCCCTCTCCGTGTCAAATTCACTGCGCCAGGAAACAGGATGACCAAAAGGATCATGAAATTGAACCTGCGCCGCTGGGAGTCTGTGCCTTTCGTTCAAAATACCTGGGAAATCCTGGGAGAGTTCCTGGTATCTCCATTTCTACTTGGCGTTGCGCTCATCGAAACAAGAAGTTCCTGGCCGGCCAAGTAATAGAATATTCTTACAGAGACTGAGGCTTAATATATATATATATACATAGTATAATATATATATATAATATATATATATAATATATATATATATATATACATCTGCCACGACTTCATCCAAAATGTTACCAACAATGACAAACCACCCCCAATCTGTGGTTTATGGCATTGGGAATACCCCTAGTTGGTCTAGCCATGTGTTTCTGCAAATCTCAAATTATCGAAAAATCCTGGGAATAAAAGTTCCCATATGTTTTTTGCCGATCAATTTTCTGGTATTAAAATCCATTGACATGATTGATGGATGAAAATGACAAGTAACACTGATTGCACTATTATTCCACCCCACCATGCCCAGTCCCTCTATTTGCTGTGCCTCCACCAGGTAAGTGGATTGTCCAGATCCTGCATCGTCTTATCCTCCAATTCCTCCGCAAAACCGCCCGGGTGAACTGTCCATCTGACAAATATTAGTCAGGTCGATTCGGTCGATCATCCATGAAAACAAGACATATTCGAAACCAGCAACCCGATATGGTACTGGTAAAACTGGTTATGATGGAGAACATCCAAGCGTTTTCCTTGTGTCTCATGGTTTTCATGGGTGTCAATATGTGTCAATGGTGGGACAGACCGATGTCAATTTCGCCATGTGTTCCCAATTCAACGGATGGAACGTTGGAATTGGAAGTCGGATTTATCACGGGACCTACCAAAGAATCTGAAAGAGAGCCGAAAATTCACTGATTTCTTCAGTTTGTTCAGCCACTCCAGCCACTCAAAACCACTACCGACGCATCTGGCAAGAAACCCTCATGGCCGGAGACGCGAAGTAGTCTCGCAAGTGCATTGAGCGGCCTATCAGAACTCCAGAACTGCAGAAATGGAGACCAAATCGTTGAGTACAGTACTCTTAAACATGGGTTTTGTCTGAAATCCATGGCAACCTCCAAAATCCTCTAAATCCTTTCATCATTACTTACTATCACATACTATCATTATATATATATATATACATATGTATATATATATATACATATCCCATATGATTCTATCCCTATATATTCAAATGGCCACATGCTTGCAATCCCCAAAAATGACCGGCTCATCTGTGCCAAGGCCTCGTTGACTTCCAGAGTGAATGGCCAACGGAGGATAGTAACCTGACAGCGAGAAGGAACGAGGCCTAGGTACTCTTCATAGTCCATTTGGGTATGGGTCAAAGTTATCTCAAAAAAACAGGGGGACCACAGATCGATATGTTTATCTAAAAATTAACCATCCAATTGTTGGGGTACCCAATTTGACCCGTACCTATTGCAAGACATAATAAATTAAATGACATTTCTGTAATAGTTCCTAAAAACAGTCAGTGCTGGGTTTCAACCTCTGGGTCTGGGGCTGGTGCATCGCTTTTTGCCAAACACAAAAATCGGCGCAGCACCCTTGAACAATGGAATCTTGAAACTCTCAAACCCTTATCATTATCACATTGTATCCCATTTCATCCCATAATCAAAATCTAGCTAATTACATCCCCATTGTTTGCTCTAATCATGATAATCATTGTCAATATTAGATGAATCACATCCAATTAATCATGATTATAAAAGGCGTATATTAGTTAACTAGGTCAATTTTAATTGACTTAATTTGGTTCAATTAGTTACATCCTGTTACCATCCTACCCATAGATTAACCATAACCATTCCAGTGAGGCGGACGAGAGGCTCCCTGCAGGTGCCAGCGTGCAGGTTCCGAGCACTGCCTGGGAGACGACCACCAGGAACTCAATGGACGATGACTATGACTATGACTCACTAACTATAAATATGTGTTGATATATACACAATATATATATATAATCATATATATATATGTATATGTATAAAATATTTATATATATATAGATAGATATAGATGTAGATGTAGATGTGGATGTATTACATCATCAGTCATGAACCTTTTTAGAACTGTCACGGGGCCAGGCCAATGAACGATTTGGGAATACAGAAATGGGCTATGGCACTCACTCCAGCGCAGGTCCTCCCAATACGGAAATAAATATCCCGCAACAAAAAAAGGTGGATCCGCCTGCATAATGGGGTACCCCCGTAAATCGCCGCGTATACGTACATATACATGTATATGCCACCGGGCCGAAAACCGTGCTCGTAAAACAACACGTTTTTGCTAGCGTGTGTTCGGAGGTCATGAAGGGGTGGGGGGGGCATGTTAACATTCCTGGTGCTTCTTCCGCCACATGTTGCTGCGCTGCACAGATGTCTGGTAGTCTTGCAGCTTTGTATACATTGTCGAAATGGTCCGCAGTGCTGGAAGGACAATGGGTTGCTAGTGCATGTGTGTTCGGAGGTCATGAAGGGGTGGTGTGGGGGGGGGCATGTTAACATTCCTTGTACTTCTTCCGCCACATGTTGCTACGCTGCACAGATGTCTGGTAGTCTTGCATCTTTGTATACATTGTTGAAATGGTCCGCAGTGCTTGAAGGTGGACACATGGGTTGCTACTAGCAGACGCCCTAAGTTACCCCATTTACCCATTAGTTACCCCAACCGCAAGGCACACCGAGTTACCCCAGGGCAGACAGTAGTTACCCCAGGTGTCAAATCCCAAAGGCACAGCGGCTCAGATGCATCATGTTTTGAAGTCGTTGCAAACTTTGAATCATGTTATTAGGTTGCATTTAGCTATGCCCGGAATCAGAATATGGGAATGTGCGACCTGTCAACTTGGAGTCAAATCTCAATGGCACACCGCCAAAAGCAATTCCAGGTCAAAAGCTTAGCCAAGCATTGAAACAGCATCACCAGCTTGCGTTCTGGTATTTTCCAAAAAAACAAATTAAAGGGTGTCCATTCTGAAAAAAACTAAAATCCCAATGGCACACTTGCAGGAGAGTGGAAGACTTTCACGAAGTCGTTGCAGACTTTGAATCATGTTCCTAGTTGCATCTAGCTATGCCCGGAATCAGAATATGGGAAGGTGCGACCTGTCAACTTGGAGTCAAATCTCAATGGCACACCGCCAAAAGCAATTCCAGGTCAAAAGCTTAGCCAAGCATTGAAACAGCATCACCAGCTTGCGTTCTGGTATTTTCAAAAGAAACAAATTAAAGGGTGTCCATTCTCAAAAAAAATAAAATCCCAATGGCACACTTGCAGGAGAGTGGAAGACTTTCACGAAGTCGTTGCAAACTTTGAATCATGTTCCTAGCTTGCATTTAGCTATGCCCGGAATCAGAATATGGGAAGGTACGACCTGTCAACTTGGAGTCAAATCTCAATGGCACACCGCCAAAAGCAATTCCAGGTCAAAAGCTTAGCCAAGCATTGAAACAGCATCACCAGCTTGCCTTCTGGTATGCCCATAAGAAACAGAATAAAGGGTTTCCATTCTCATGAGGGCCAAAACCCCAATGGCACACTTGCAGGCGAGTGGATGACTTTCACAAAGTTTGAAATTAATCACATTGAAATCACACCCTGCCCTGCTGTAACGGAATCCGAGACATATGGAATATGGATGTAATACCAGAATCATGACTCTGGAAAGGTTTTTGGACGAGGTACCGGACGAGATACCGGACGAGGTACCGGAATTACATTTTGCCATCCCAGCCAGAACCCACCCCACGTATCCCCACGTCAGATCAAAAACTGTAAATAGTAAAAACGATGTGGATAGGTCCGAAAAATCCAAGCAATAAGGTCCGGAAGATGAGGTGGAGGAGGATAATGTTGCGGAAGATGAGGTGGAGGATGATGATGTGGAGGATGATGAGGTAGAGGATAACGATGTTAAGAAGGAGGAAGATAATGATGTTGAGGATGATCATGTTGAGGAGGAGGATGGAAAGGATGATAATTAATATTGCGGAAGAGGAGGTGGAGGAGGAGGATGTTGCAGAAAATGAGGTGGAGGATGACGATGTTGAGGATGATGATGTCAAGGGGGAGGACGAGGATGATGCTGAGAATGATGATGTGGAGGAGGAGGAAGATGATGATACTGAGGAGGAGGAGGAGGAGGAGGAAAAGGAGGAGGAGGAGTCGAGGACCGATCACAAGACCCCCGAGTGTGTACACACTATGTGGGAAATTCACGTTGCTCCAGGGATTGTTAGGGGGCAAATGGACATAACTTGATACAACTAATGTTTGCCATGTTAAGAATCCCTGCGTGCCTATGCGTTGTGCTGTAAAGATCATACCAAATAACAAATCATGTAGTAATTCATTCCAGTGGTTGTGTCACTTCTTCCGCATGGCACACCGAGATGAGACAACAAAGTGCTATCTGAGACAAGAAAGGGCTTACCCCATCATTGCGAGATCGCTTCTTGCGCGGGGGGTTCCATTGCCATTGAAACACCAATCAAAGCAATCTTGGGCCAAAGTGCCCAATCATTCGCGCATCTGCTGATCTTTGCAGATTGAATTGAGCTTGTCTAAACCTCATTTTGTAACAATATACCATTCCACCAAAAGCCAAAAGGCACCGCTAAACTCCATAAAAGTAACCCAGGGATTGTTAGGGAGGCAAATGGATATAACTAATGTTTGCAATGTTAAGAATCCTTGCGTGCCTATGCGTTGTGCTGTAAAGATCATACCAAATGACAACTCCATTCCAATAGTTGTGTCACATCTTTCGCATGGCACACCGAGATGAGACAACAAAGTGCTGCCTGAGACAACTTAGGGCTTTCCCTCAGTAGTGCGCGGAATGGAGAAAACCAGTTGCCACACTGCCACACTGGAACAATCGATGCCGCATGGATTGCTGTCAAAGACTTGATCCCCAACTCGTTGTGTTCAAAGAGCAAAGATCTTCTCCCTATGTGAAGTGCTGGCAGTGGAGATATGTGAATCTGCATACCCATCTCCAGCAAAAAACAATTTCAACGCTGAAGCGCCTGCTCTGAAAAGAAAGAAAGAACAAACATGTCAACTTGCTCCAATGAAATGAATCCAAAACCCACATGAAACAGGAATTTTGCCAAATTTTCGCGTGAGAATTTGGCACAATTTGGCTTGCAGAAATGTCTGCTTCGCTATGGCGAAAATGCGTTAAAAAAAAAACGTTGTTTTTACGAGCACGGTTCCCGGCGGTCCGCCGGGATGTATATTATATTTACATATATATATATATATATATATATATCTGTATATACATCATTTTATACAATTTTCACTATCATTATCATCAATTCATCATCATTATTACTGTCTTTATTTCATGATTAATTATCGTTATTTACTGTATTATTTGGTATTCTATTATACGTAATTATAAATCATGGGGAAAGTGATGATCATGGAATTGATGATAGCCCAGCTGCACGTTCTGCCACGGTGACACCCGGAAGCAGCGTACAGTGGTCCAACACATTGGCGGCGTGGCAGAGTCGGATGTCTGCGAAGCGTTGCTTTGGTCCTGGACACCGAACTTGCAATGTATGGATATGATGTACTGAGAAATGATAAACATGAGAGATGGCTCTGTATATATATATATAATAAAATTATATATTATTATATTATATTTTATTATATTATATATTATATTATATTATATTATATTAAATAATATATATATAATATGATATATTATATATTATATATTATATATTATATTATAAAAGATAATATATTGTAAGATATTATATTAAATATTATATTATATAAGATATTATAGTATATAAAATATTATATTATATAAAGTATTGTACTATATTATATTATATTATATTACATTATATTATTAAAGATATTGCATTATATAAGATGTTACAGTATATAAGATATTAAAGTATATAAGGTATTAAAGTATATAAGATATCAAATATTATACTATATATTATACTATATTATATACTATATTAAATATTAATATATATTTACATAATATATTAAATATTAACATATATTTACATAATATATTATATTATACTATATCAACTTAAATTATATCATATTATATTATATATATTATATCATATTATATTATATTATATTGAATTATTATATTAAATTATATATTATATATTATATTATATTATATTATATATTATATTATATTATATATTATATATTATATTATATTATATATTATATATTATATTATATTATATATTATATATTATATATTATATATTAAAAATTAAATATTATATATTCTATATTATATATTATATATGATATATTATATATAATATATTATACATTAAATATCATATATTACATATCCGCCGACCCCTGCCGACAGCAGGGGGAGCGCGTCAGAGGAGGAATTACCAGCAGCAAGGGCCAAGAAGTCATTACAAGCAGCAAGGGCAAGAAGCAAGAAAACATGAAAGAAGAAGCAAGAAGCAAGAAGCAATTACAGGCAACAAGCGGCAAGAAGCAAGAAACAAGAAGCCAGGAAGCAACAAGCGGCTGGAAGACAGGTCAGAGAAGTCATTACAAACAGCAAGGGCAAGAAGGAAGAAAACAAGAAAGAAGAAGCAAGAAGCAAGAAGCAATTACAGGCAACAAGCGGCAAGAAGCAAGAAACAAGAAGCCAGGAAGCAACAAGCGGCTGGAAGACAGGTCAGAGAAGCAAGAAACAACAAGCCAGGAAGCAACAAGCGGCTGGAAGACAGGTCAGAGAAGCAAGAAACAAGAAGCCAGGAAGCAACAAGCGGCTGGAAGACAGGTCAGAGAGCTAGTTTTCTTGTCGATTCAGAAAGCAACGTTAGGCAGGCAGCCGGAAGACAGGTCAGAGAAGCAAGAAACAAGAAGCCAGGAAGCAACAAGCGGCTGGAAGACAGGTCAGAGAGCTAGTTTTCTTGTCGATTCAGCAAGCAACGTTAGGCAGGCGGCTGGAAGACAGCTCAGAGAGCTAGTTTTCTTGTAGGTTGAGAAAGCAACGTTAGGCAGTGGGAGCCGTTGCCCGGAGGCTCGGTCCGTCCTTCAGGGCCCTGCTGTTTTGCTGTTTCTTATGCGCCGTTTGTGAGCCTTGACGGCTGGCAGAGAGCTAGTTTGGGAGCCGTTGCCCGGAGGCTCGGTCCGTCCTTCAGGGCCCTGCTGTTTTGCTGTGGCGAGGGCGCCGTTTGTGAGCCTTGACGGCTGGAAGAGAGCTAGTTTTCTTGTAGGTTCAGAAAGCAACGTTAGGCACTGGGAGCCGTTGCCCGGAGGCTCGGTCCGTCCTTCAGGGCCCTGCTGTTTTGCGGTGGCGGAGGCGCCGTTTGTGAGCCTTGACGGCTGGAAGAGAGCTAGTTTGGGAGCCGTTGCCCGGAGGCTCGGTCCGTCCTTCAGGGCCCTGCTGTTTTGCTGTGGCGAGGGCGCCGTTTGTGAGTCTTGACGGCTGGAAGAGAGCTAGTTTTCTTGTAGGTTCAGAAAGCAACGTTAGGAAGTGGGAGCCGTTGCCCGGAGGCTCGGTCCGTCCTTCAGGGCCCTGCTGTTTTGCTGTGGCGAGGGCGCCGTTTGTGAGCCTTGACGGCTGGAAGAGAGCGAGTTTGGGAGCCGTTGCCCGGAGGCTCGGTCCGTCCTTCAGGGCCCTGCTGTTTTGCTGTGGCGAGGGCGCCGTTTGTGAGCCTTGACGGCTGGAAGAGAGCTAGTTTTCTTGTAGGTTCTAGGTTCAGAAGGCAACGTTAGGCACTGGGAGCCGTTGCCCGGAGGCTTGGTCCGTGCTTCAGGGCCCTGCTGTTTTGCTGTGGCGAGGGCGCCGTTTGTGAGCCTTGACGGCTGGAAGAGAGCTGGTTTGGGAGCCGTTGCCCGGAGGCTCGGTCCGTCCTTCAGGGCCCTGCTGTTTTGCTGTGGCGAGGGCGCCGTTTGTGAGCCTTGACGGCTGGAAGAGAGCTAGTTTTCTTGTAGGTTCAGAAAGCAACGTTAGGCAGTGGGAGCCGTTGCCCGGAGGCTCGGTCCGTCCTTCAGGGCCCTGCTGTTTGGGCGTGGCGGAGGCGCCGTTTGTGAGCCTTGACGGCTGGAAGAGAGCTAGTTTGGGAGCCGTTGCCCGGAGGCTCGGTCCGTCCTTCAGGGCCCTGCTGTTTTGCTGTGGCGAGGGCGCCGTTTGTGAGCCTTGACGGCTGGAAGAGAGCTAGTTTTCTTGTAGGTTCAGAAAGCAACGTTAGGCAGTGGGAGCCGTTGCCCGGAGGCTCGGTCCGTCCTTCAGGGCCCTGCTGTTTGGGCGTGGCGGAGGCGCCGTTTGTGAGCCTTGACGGCTGGAAGAGAGCTAGTTTGGGAGCCGTTGCCCGGAGGCTCGGTCCGTCCTTCAGGGCCCTGCTGTTTTGCTGTGGCGAGGGCGCCGTTTGTGAGCCTTGACGGCTGGAAGAGAGCTAGGTTTCTTGTAGGTTCAGAAAGCAACGTTAGGCAGTGGGAGCCGTTGCCCGGAGGCTCGGTCCGTCCTTCAGGGCCCTGCTGTTTTGCTGTGGCGGAGGCGCCGTTTGTGAGCCTTGACGGCTGGAAGAGAGCTAGTTTTGGAGCCGTTGCCCGGAGGCTCGGTCCGTCCTTCAGGGCCCTGCTGTTTTGCTGTGGCGAGGGCGCCGTTTGTGAGCCTTGACGGCTGGAAGAGAGCTAGTTTTCTTGTAGGTTCAGAAAGCAACGTTAGGCACTGGGAGCCGTTGCCCGGAGGCTCGGTCCGTCCTTCAGGGCCCTGCTGTTTGGGCGTGGCGGAGGCGCCGTTTGTGAGCCTTGACGGCTGGAAGAGAGCTAGTTTGGGAGCCGTTGCCCGGAGGCTCGGTCCGTCCTTCAGGGCCCTGCTGTTTTGCTGTGGCGAGGGCGCAGTTTGTGAGCCTTGACGGCTGGAAGAGAGCTAGTTTTCTTGTAGGTTCAGAAAGCAACGTTAGGCAGTGGGAGCCGTTGCCCGGAGGCTCGGTCCGTCCTTCAGGGCCCTGCTGTTTTGCTGTGGCGGAGGCGCCGTTTGTGAGCCTTGGCGGCTGGAAGAGAGCTAGTTTTCTTGTAGGTTCAGAAAGCAACGTTAGGCAGTGGGAGCCGTTGCCCGGAGGCTCGGTCCGTCCTTCAGGGCCCTGCTGTTTGGGCGTGGCGGAGGCGCCGTTTGTGAGCCTTGACGGCTGGAAGAGAGCTAGTTGGGGAGCCGTTGCCCGGAGGCTCGGTCCGTCCTTCAGGGCCCTGCTGTTTTGCTGTGGCGAGGGCGCCGTTTGTGAGCCTTGACGGCTGGAAGAGAGCTAGTTTTCTTGTAGCTTCAGAAAGCAACGTTAGTAACGTTAAGCAGTGGGAGCCGTTGCCCGGAGGCTCGGTCCGTCCTTCAGGGCCCTGCTGTTTTGCTGTGGCGAGGGCGCCGTTTGTGAGCCTTGACGGCTGGAAGAGAGCTAGTTTTCTTGTAGGTTCAGAAAGCAACGTTAGGCAGTGGGCGCCGTTGCCCGGAGGCTCGGTCCGTCCTTCAGGGCCCTGCTGTTTTGCTCAATGGGAGATATGCCCAGGGGTCGGCGGCAGGGGGCGGAGCCCTTTAATTATATATTATATTATATATTATATATTTTACCTTATATATTATATATTATATTATAATTAAATTGTATTATATTATATTATATCATGCTAGATATTCGAGCATTTGTCTTCACGCACGCATCTTGATTCAATCTACAGTAGTCAAAAGGTGACTCCAGGATACTCCAGCTAGTCATGATGAGTCATGGCTTCAAACCAACTTTCATCTCAACTTGATAAAGGTAACCCATGGTAGCCCCAACATCCCCCAGGAAGGGCACAATCTCGGCACTCCTCGCTTCTTCTCCATCTTCTTGCTATACTCCAAGGGCACCCAGGGCGCGTGCATGTCGGTGCACAGCATGACTTCACTGCCAAAGACCACCTGAGTTCAGCTTCATCTGGTGGAACGAGTCAGTTTGCCTTGGTACCCGGCTGTTCAAACGAAAATAACATAAAAAAAAACCTGGTATAGTGTTTTTCTTGTGTCCATAGCCATCTTCCATATGGATCCAATATGGACATGGGTCAAAATCGTCAAGATTCAAAATTATCGGATTGATCTCAATTGTTTAGAGGTGGTGCAAATGCTTGACCCATCTGAAACCAGCTGAAAAATGCTACCCAGAGCCACATAGTCATCAATATCTACGCAGTCATTCTCGATGAAATGGAGCCTTAGGCATAACAACCGCCCTGCCATGCGCAAACTTCGGAAGTGTCAAAGGGATCATACATCACAGGGATGTATTTTTTGGGGGAATGATGTGGAGGTCTTGGGAGTAAGTCAGTGTTTTCATGTTTTTTCATGTTTTTTCTGTTCCATCGGTTGAAGGAAAACTGGCTGACACCCAGACAGCATGTCCCTGTGACCCGTCTGTGATGATCTCTGGGGTCGTTGCTGATCGATCTGCACACGTCTTCCAATTTTGGTGCCCAGCGCACGATAGATGTAGGACAGGAACTCTGTGTTTGTGAACATGGTACACAGCTCCTGCACCGCATCCATCCGGCGGGGTACGCATCTGTGCGGTGGATGGTTTTCATAGGAACCACGTGAGACATGAAGGCAAACTAGCTTTTGGATGCTTTTGGATCCTTTCGCACCACGAAGCAAGATCTAATCAGCCTACCAGATTGAAAATTTAGTCGCAGAACGCACCCGAAGAAACATGAGGTTGGGAGTTGGGAGGACAATGTTCCTCTTGACTATGTCCTTTGTTTGGGTATGGCAAATGGCTCATCTCCGCCAACCCCGCCCCATGTCCTCAAAGTCATGGGATTCCACTGCCCGGCCATGCACCCAGTGCTTCCACTCATTCCAGTGGCTCAGCTCATCATTTCTCTGTTTCCGGAAATCGCCTGCCAATTGACAGGGAGAAGAACTTCGCATGGTAGGAGTACCAACTTTGACCCGAAGAGTTGGTTTGGATTGGTGGGTGAAACTTCACAAAGCGTGCGGGCGGTCTCAGCATTGAGCTTCTGTGCCTGAATGACCAACAACGGCACCTTTTAAGAAAACCCTGCCCTCCCAAAAGCAGCCACTCTTCCTCAACCCTGTTTTGGCCTCCCCAGGGGTCCAGGCCTATGAGTAACCACTTTTGCAGAATCACGACGATCATCCGGAAGAACCACATGGGATGGGCATAGATCCATGCCAGCAAGACACTCCAAATGGCAAAGGCGGTCACTGGGTCATCATCATAGAGACCGTCGTAGGACCAAACCAGCACATAGTACGTGGCATAGTACCTACTAAAGATGAGGGCTTCAAGCAATACTTCAATATACTTCAATAAATTGGGATATGTTAAGAATAATCCACAATTTGGCTAAGCGGCTTGTCGAATCTGGAACCGAAAAAAAAACACATTGTTCATTTCTTGACCAATCCGAATGTGTTCAATGATTGCATGTTTAAGCGACCATGACTAACGAAGCGAACCGGGGTAACCATTGCTGTGACCCACTATCATTAAAAAATAATACATTTTCATGAAATCAATATTGGCAATGTATTAATATTCTCATACATATATCATATATCATTATCATCATGATCATCATTATATGATCATCATCAGAATATTGCCAGCAAACATGATCATGATCATTGATGTGGGTAAAACAATGTCATTTTTACCACCCATTTTTCTGGGAATGGTTTATACTATACCCTCTGGTTATTTAACATAGCCATGGAAAATCACCATTTTTAATAGGTAAACCATCTATAAATGGGCCATTTTCCATGGCTATGTTAAATAACCAGAGGGTATACTATACCATTAAAAATGGTGACTGGGGGATGGACATCTCCGTCGTTGCTCCAAGCGGCGGAAGGACCTCCGTCATCAACACCACTGGCAGACCGAAGACCACCCGCAGCAAATTCTGCCTCCGATGGAACTTCTCCTCGTGGACGAAAAACGACCATGGCATGGGAATCCCCGGGAATCCCCTTCTGCCGTTTCGGCAGAAGGGGACATATTAATGGGATATGATGGGGATGTTGATGGTATATGCATTGGTTAATCATGGATTTATATGGGAAATCTGCTTGGAAATCATGAGTTGAGGATTGGATTTAGCTAATTTGGATGGTTCTATTGTCTGAAATCAGGTTTTCCGATGCGACCATCATTTTGGGGTCGCATGTGTGAAAAGAATTTGCGGTTGGAAGGATGGGATTCAGAAGGGACCAAACATGTGGACCGGAGTTCCACTATGTCGATGCACACTCATATAAAGTGAGAAAATTACAGAAAGCGTATGCAATCTGATTGAAACCTGGTAAACGCTAACACGGCAACTAACATCGGCTTTCTTATGTTATAGTGATTGACGCAGCAATGCTGAAAGTCTGATGAACAAACTCAGATGCCATATACTTGGTTATATCCAATGAAATATTCCCGTGACCTTCCCAATAAAACATCGATTATTATCATGGTTGGCTTTCCCTTCTGGAAATTTCACATAGCTAATGAAAATCACCAATGGTACTATAGGCAAATCATCTATAAATGGGTAATTTTCCATAGCTATGTTAAATGACCAGAGGGTATATACCAATCCCCCATGTTTGCGAGCAAAATCCCAGTTGTTGTGGCTAAAGTCCCATGGTTATCTCCGCAGTGCCGTTGGGGACCTCACCTATGATATCCCCAGTCCATCACGTTTCCATCATTTGATTAGCTACATCCCTATTATCCTACTGTTGGTGCTTGAATACCAAAAACGGGTATAACGTGGTGGTACCCCGCAGTGATCTTTGTTGGTCTATAGCCCCCACTAACTATAGCTAACCAAAACCCTAATTATTGGACTTCTAAACCAACTTAGTTGACTATGGGGCACCACCTTGCAATAGTAGTTGACTTCATTGCCAATTAGTAACCATTGAACCATGCGAACCATTGGTGAACCAACTAATTCCCATTAAATTCCATGAAAAATTCGATGAATACCTTTAAAATTCATGATAAAATAATCCGTTAAACAACCATTCATTACACCATTAGGTAACCATTAAGCATCCATCAATTCACCACCTCCTAACAGCAGGCAATTCTCATCAGCTCGCGGTGGCTGTACGTCGTGAAACGCCACCGACCCCACGGGGCCGTGCCATCCTGGATGGAATATGGGATGAGTCACACTTTGCTATTGAATTATCATATGGGTATTATAAAACATTATGGATTGTTACCAGGTAATCAGCTGAGTAAGTTAGAATAATTCACTAAGTTGATCATTCTGGAATATGAGGGAATTCCCCCAATCCTAATCATCATTCCAGTGGCAATGAGGTCGTGATAATTTACACAGATCAAAGGAGAATTCTGGGATTTCATTTAATAATTGGATTTTATTTGCCAAATGTATCACCAATGGGATTTCAAATACATATCATGCGTTTATTGGTGAATATATGAATGGATGAATAAATTTCCACATATAGTCATTGAATTTTATTTGATATATATATATATATATACATATTATGGTTATGCTTATTTTGGAAAATTAGATTTAATAATATTTTCCCCACAAAATATATCTGGGAATATAATAATGTGTCGCAAACCTGATTGGTTTGGGCAGTTGGGGGTGATTGCCCCTAACCATCGTCTATCTATGGTAAGGTCAAAAAATACATACATATGTTACGTGTATATATATATATATTATATTTTTGCATATGTATATATATATAAATATACACATATATATACATACATACATACATACATACATACATGCATACATACATACATATATATATATATGGTATATATGGTCAGCGCCCCCCCCCATATATGTATGTGTATATATATATATATAGCAAACCCCAAAAAAAAACTGGAACAGTAAACAAATCCACTAAAATAGAGATAAATTGAGCCTGTTATTTCCTTTCTGGGGATGACGATGCATATGTGTATATGCTTGTATAGTAGCTATGCATTATATTTGATCAGTTGCTATACTATGTTGTGTGTATATATATATACACATGTGTTTCTGTTCGTACATGAAAGATAATCGATACGGAAAAAAAAGATATTTCATACCCTCGGGTAAACTAACATAGCTATTGAACATTGCCATTTATAGTGAGTTCTCCCATTAAAAATGTTGATTTTCCATAGTTTTTGGTATGTTTACCAGAGGGTAGATGATAGATATGGTTACTGATGTGACCTATCTATCCACCATAGATCATTTTCCTTGGGGTTTCTTCATGGCTGTAACGAGTATAAGGAAGGCCAGTAGGGATGTTTCCTTGTTACATCCCAACTTACCATGGTTCTATCCATTAAAAAGAAAAAACAACTGCACCCCTAAGTATTGCTACAGGTGTTGTTTGTATATGTCATTGCGTAATTACCAATTATACCCCAATTGCATCCCTATTGATCATGGTTGATTTATACCAAATCCACATTTGTTGCTAGTAAAATCCAAATTCTTATGGCTTACATTTTATTCAATCACCATGTTAAGATAACTTCAATCCCAGTCAAATCTCATCAATGTGCTAAAGCCCACAATAAACCATTCCCAAAATCATCATAGATTTACCACATCATAGATTTACCACATCATAGATTTACCACATCATAGATTTTCCACATCATAGATTTCCCAAAATGATTCCCAAACAAAATCACTATGTGGACGTTGCTTGTCCCCATTGTGGCTTGGCAGCTTGGCTCCATCCCCATTTTCTTCGAAGAAACCTGGCATCGTGGAAAGGGGCACGACGGCCTTTCGTTCTGGAACCACTGTGTTCTGGGACAGGACCGCGGTAGGCCCCACGGCAGCGGAGTGACCTGCAGGGTAATCATGGTGATTTCACCCCCAAAAAGCTTGGGATATAGCATGATATCATATGATCTAACATGATATAAACCCTAGAACTATAATTATATATATACATATATATATATATATATCCACTTATAATCCTATCCCATTCATATTAGAAAAACACCTCGACCTGAAACCGACCTGTTTTTTGGGGAAATTCCACGACAGTCACCGGCGATGTACCAGGATGATCCTCTAAGGGGTTTCCCCAAGAACCCAATTTGAAAAAGATGCAGAAATTACGATATAAATATATAAGGAACCATCATGGAGATGTCATGAACATACAATTTATATATATATATATATATCAATTTATGGGATAAATAATTGACAATATGATACTTGGATGTGTCTAGAAATGGGTTATAGCCCTAATCTATGTCCATCAAACAATAGGGAAAGTGATGAGAAATGACTGAGTAAAACACAAAGACACCCAAGTTGATCGTCAGTCTCCAGTGATCAAGTACCATTTTACCCATTTGAAGAGTAATGTTCCACATTAAAAGGACCATAAATTGCAGCCTGTATCCCTGACATGTGGTATTGTACATGTTTCAGCGTGGCATCATGATGGCTGATTTGATATATGTGCTAGGGTCAAAACATGGTATATGGTGTATGTAATCATATGTCATCCATCCCTAATAATGGGAATGTCTATAATGAGTGAATCAGTGTGTACATATAATTATATGATGATATACATCTATAAATCATTATAAATCATTATAAATACATACTGGGGAGACCCCAGTATTAAAGGATTGATGATGATTGATGACCATCCCCCAATGTGGCAAAACAAGGCACCCTACTTTTTGAACATGGCACATATGCTGATTTGTCGTTTGACGATAAGTCTTGGTTGAATCTTGGCTTCACTGCATGAGATGCCAATGATGCCAATGATGACTAATATATGATAATCATGATAGATGAGAATCAAGTATTTCTATCCGCCATTTTTTTGTTCGGTACATAACTGGGACATACTGGGACCATCCCGTCCGAGCCCCGGGCCTATTCGAATGACACCCAGGTGAACCTTTCCATGAAGAACCGAACTGGTCGCCAGCTTTGCTCTTTTACCTGGTGGCAAAGATCATATGACGATGGGGAGAGTTTGTCAAAAATATGAAAACCAACAAAAATACAATATGCATATATATATATATATATATATATAAATAATATAGTTATAGATAGTTGTAAATATGTATATCGTCGTATTAGACCAAGCCTATAGCTTCCGTCCCACTCTTGTAAGGATATGATACAAGTATGACTATGGCTCCCTAGTCGCTTTTGTCTGATATGATGTGACTATAGCTCCCCTATTCACTCTCGCCTGATCTGATCAGATCTGATATATATATATATATACATATACATACCTAGAATACTGATTCTGGGAAATATACAAAGTCCGTCAAGGTATCTAAATATATACAATTGATTGAGATCACAAATTATCACTTTTTCTGATTTGGGGGACAAACGTATTCTTATTGGCATCACTTGGCATCCAGTTACAGTGACCATCTGCTTTTGGTCTTTTTCACTCAGGGCGTCCTATCAAGCTTCACTGGCAGCCAGTGGTGGGTGTCGTGTGCCTCCAATCCCATTTTTCACCTGCCGTAAATTAGACCCCCGATTGAGAAAAGACTTACGCCGAAACTGGGTTCTAGCAGGTTCTTCATTATTACGTGATCGACATATATCTACATTTAAATGTACGGGTTCTTGCGGTCTGGCCCGCCCTCCACACATTTAAATGTCGTTACCGTAGTATTTATTAGAGTGAAAGGATGATGATTCCAAGAGTGGGATAATCATAGTCGGGGAGGGGAACAAAACCCTGGTGCCCTGACATCCTGCAAAATGGATCGACCAAACTATATGGGTTTGTCCAGAAATATGACAACAAATGACACGGTGCCACTGCCCATAGTACCTGGACCTCTCAGAGGGATCTTTATCCAATCACATAATCACCAGCATCCACCAGCATCCAATCACCAGCCATGCTGAGGTGCCAATGGTCGCATTCGCTCCCACATCTAACAGGTCAGGGTCATGCAGGTTGAAGACGCTGATCTTGGCGCCTTCGCCGATCTTCGCACCTGCAGCTGGAGCCACCAGCTGAAGATTGGCTATGTCCGGAAAAATCATGGGATTTTGGACCCTGTGATTTGATATCCCCAATTTCTGTTTAATGGAATTGGAAATCTCTGCGATGTGCGAAGAAACTTCCAACCATTGAAAATATCAAAATAGGTGGACTCGAACATGGCAGTAGACATTCACATTGTTTCTGGGACACGGAACAGTCACCATGTCCCTTTGACAGAACACAGCCAGAATCTATACAAGGAGTTTTCACATGTCCGAAAAGTCCATCTGGGGAAGACATGTCAAGCTTCTTCTCAAGAACCATGGAAGTTCTTGGAAAACCACAAATGTTGGCCAGGTTCAGAAAAAATATAAAGACACCTATCAACACATATGCACATGTTCGACACTGTTAGTTGTATATATATATATATATGTATATAATGACGTAAACATACATATATATATGTAGAATATGTATATACACACATATCTGTGAAATACAATGAAATACATCATATATGCAAATACTTATATATATTATATATATATGTTATCAACATTTATGAACACTGTGGTAAATAATAAAAAAAAGTAAATATACAAACACATAGATACACATATACATATACATGACATATATTCCACACGCAGCTGCCCCAAGGCACCCAAGGCCCGAAGCAGAAAGTTCGCCACAGAGGTGTCTGCAATGAGTGGCATCGCTTGAGCCATGGAGTGTCTCAGCAAGGTGTTTACGAACCACCAGCGATAGTATTCCTCAGATTGGCAGGGATAGTATTCCATGTTATTCTTGTGATAGTGGTGGTAGTAGTGGTAGTGGCGGTGGTGGTAGTAGTAGTAGTAGTAGCAGTAGTAGTAGCAGTAGCAATTTATTAAAATTTGATTCGGCATCAGCCGAGGGTGATGACGTCTCAACGTGGGTCGCATGAAAATGAGAAATGCCAAAGAATTGTGGGCCACTCATTTTCATAGAACACTAATTTAACCCTATTGGAACAACATTTTCATTAAACCTAAAAGGGAAAATCATAGAACCAAAACTATTGGACTCAAGGTACACAATTTTTGGACAAACCCATTATGTAGACTTTTATAAACCAAGTTGCTGCAGACCACAGCTCGATGGTGCCTGGAATCCAGGTGTCCATTGTGTTGATGGCTCCCAACACGCCAGAAAAGGGATGAAATGGGTAGATCAAGATATAAAATGACCACGTTTCACCCAAAAGTGGCTATCACTCACTTATGACGGGTTCAAGCAATAAGCAACCCATGTATATCTAAATAATTACACTTCCACACCCGTTGTTTCATGATGATATCATGATATCAGATTCATCACCATGATCGGTGGCATCATCATCATCATCATCATCATCATCATCATCATCATCATCATCGATCCATATCGATCCCCAGGATCATTGTCCCACATGTTCTCTTAATTTCCCATACTTGTTGGGTCCATTTCTGGGCAAACCGAGCCTGGCTTGACCCTTCCAAGGATGAGCCATTTCAGCAGCACGACGAAACTGAACATCACAACCTCCCATGGTGAAACGACGGGTTAAACTGGTCATATAAACATGTTTGAATCAGGATCTGCACAACTTAAAATAGATACCCAAAACTGTTGAATGTATTTCATAATATTTTGTATGTATATGCACTGGCACCCCTAGTATGGTTTCGATTGGTGAAGCCTTTTCATATGTCTTTGGTGGAAGAGATCAACACAAAATGATTCCTAAGCGGCTGAATTGGACCCTTCCTGTAGACCGACGACCGAAATCAAGCAATATTTGTGATCGCAGGTCCGAAATATTGATCCATATCCACATCTCCATTGCGAAAGCGGAAAAAACTGACAGTCTGATATGGTCTGATAATTACCTTTCATACATAATTAACTCACCTGAAAGCACTGAGCTTTTGGATTTTCTCAACAGCTCAAGGGACAATATCCAAGAACGCTGCGAACGGCAAGTAGATGAAAAGAGCCGTTCTGCCATAATACCTGCGGCTGGGGCGTTGGATCTCAAGACGGCATGGATGGTTGATTCATAGGCAGTTAGGATATGGCAAGAGAGGTCAGAGTGACTAATGAAAATACGGTACTTGGGAAGATTTCGATTGGAATCGGAATAGACATTGATAAAACACATAGTAGATCATAGTAGATCATTGTAGCCTATGCGTGTTGTTTTGTACATGGCTGGTTTTGTCTCTGCGGCCAAGGCTCTCAAAAATAAACCATGCTGCCCACCAGATAGGCGACCAAGCCTGGCCGTGTCGACATCGTTGACATCCAATGGCTTTCTGACACATCACCCAGTGCCACGCCTGGCTCTGGAAAAGGAAGTTAAGGCAAAATACCTCAGAACACGGGTCTGAACATGTTGGGGAAAACAACCAAATTGTTTGGTCCATCCCACATCTAAAATAACCCTCTTGTGGCCCAAGGGGCCCAAGTGGACCTGTAAAAAGATGATTCCACATCCCGATTTGCTGTCCAAGGAAATTCGGTCTCTTATGGTTCCTTTTTACAATCTAACGCACTTCATTAAATCATTCGTTGCTGAAATCTCCACGGTTGAAGTCCCGTTTGGTTGCTGCATTCCTGTTCATTCGTACCCTCACGGTTGTGTTCATACCCCGATACATCCAACGAATTTCCGCGTGTTTCGTGGTGAAATTGAATGAACATCCTTTTTTTCTTGGCGCAATCCCATGAAATTATTGAACTATTTATATAAATCCGCATTGTTTCTGCTTTGTCCAAAAAATATCCTTGTTGTTGCTTCATATCTTCACGATCCAATACGCGCATCCGATTCAGTTTAGATCTTTGCAATTCTTTGCACATGTTTCTTGGAAAAAAAAAGGTAAAATCCCATGAATCAGTTTTGTTGCTGGTGAACTCCGATTCAATTCCTGTTTTCCTTTCTGAAATCGAATCAAATCATACTAAATCTCCAAAGTATCATGTAGTTCTGATTCTGTTTGTAGCCCCAACTGGCTCCCCATCGAATGTACGTATGGATACCAGCAAAATCGATAGCAACTGATGGTTTGCAGTCCAAAAGACACTTATTCCTTGGATGCAAATGGATGAGAAGGACGTGGAACTACATTGAGTCCTTCTCGGCAGCTGCGCCATGGACAAACTGTGTCCTGTCCAAAGATGGGGAAGGAGATGCATATACGAAAATAGACAGGGGGATTAATATAGTGGGTTTTAAAGAAGGGTGTTCAACAACAACAACAACAACAACAACAGCAACAGCAACAGCAACAGCAACAGCAACAGCAACAGCAACAACAACAACAACAACAACAACAACCACAACCACGACCACGACAACGACAACGACAACAACAACAACAACCACAACGACAACGACAACGACAACAACAACAACAACAACCACAACGACAACGACAACGACAACGACAACGGCAACGGCAACAGCAACGACAACGACAACGACAACCACAACAACAACAACAACAAAACAACAACAACAACAACCACAACGACAACGAAGACAACAACGACAACGACAACGACAACGACAACGGCAACGACGACAACAACAACAACAACAACGACAACGACAACGACAACGACAACGACAACGACAACGACAACGACAACAACAACAACAACGACAACAACGACAACAAGGACAACGACAAGGACAACGACGGCCAGAACCACGACCACGACAACGCCGATGACGGCAACGACAACCACAACCACAACAACCACAACCACAACCACGACCGCAACAACAACCACAACAACAACAACCACAACAACCACAACCACCACAAAAACCACCACACCATCACCACCACCACCACGACCACCACCCCACCAGCACTACAGACAACACCACCACCACCACCAACAACCAACAACCAACAACAACAGCAAACAGCCAACAGCAACCACAACACCACAACAACAACAACAACCACAACAACCACAACAACCACAACAACCACAACAACCACAACAACAGCAACAACAGCAACAGCAGCAGGCACAGCAACCACAGCAACCACAACAACCACGACAACCACAACAACCACAACAACCACAACAACCACAACAACCACAACAACCACAACAACCACAACAACCACAACAACCACAACAACAACAACAACAACCACAACAACCACAACAACCACAACAACCACATCCATGCAAATTTTATGGACTTTATCGATGCCCACAATATCCTGAGATCAAATATTCCCAATTGAGGGCCCCAATTCATGAATAGACCCGATACTAAACCAGAGTTTCGTTTAGCGAGCATTTGATACTGAAGGGAAAGGGTATTGTACAATATGTCATGGTATAAATTGTTGTATTGTCCATGCATATGAAAAACAATAAGACTACAGTGTCAAATGACAAATGAATTCGGGAATGCCGGCCACAGGAGCGATGAAAAATTGCACGCCGTTGTGGCGCGCAGCACATTTCCAAGTCAAAATGTACAAAACACCAGGGGTTCGGACCACTTTTGGAAGTTGAGATGTCGAAAAAGTGCACGCCGTTCTGGCGCGAAGCACATTTCGAAGTCAAAATGTACAAAACACACCAGGTTCGGACCACTTTTGGAAGTTGAGATGTCGAAAAAGTGCACGCCGTTGTGGCGTGAAGCACATTTCCAAGTCAAAATGTACAAAACACACCAGGTTCGGACCACTTTTGGAAGTTGAGATGTCGAAAAAGTGCACGCCGTTGTGGCGCGAAGCGCATTTCCAAGTCAAAATGTACAAAACACCCAGGTCGGACCACTTTTGGAAGTTGAGATGTCGAAAAAGTGCACGCCGTTGTGGCGCGAAGCACATTTCCAAGTCAAAAGTGTAAAAAACTGACGGTCTCGGACCACTTTTGGAGGTTCAGATGTCGAAAAAGTGTCGAAAAAGTGCACGCCGTTGTGGCGCGAAGCACATTTCGAAGTCAAAAGTGTAAAAAACTGAGGGTTTTGAGCCTTTTTTGACGTGAAGATGTCGAAAAAGTAGACACTGATTAACTTAACTAACTTGACCAACTTAACTAACTTCACTAACTTAACTACCCTAACTTCGACGACAACAGCAACAACAACAACAACAACAACAACACCAACACCAACACCAACACCAACCACAACAACTACAACTACAACGACTACAACAACTACAACTACAACAACTACACAACAACTACAACTACAACTAGAACTACAACTACAACAACTACAACAACAACAACTACTACTACTACTACAACAAGTACAACTACAACAACTACAGCAACAACAACAACAACTACTACTACTACAACAACTACAACAACAACACCAACTACTACAACTACAACTACAAATACAACTACAACAACTACAACTACAACTACTACAACTACAACTACAAAACAACTACAGCTACAACTATATGACTGCAATTACACTACACTAATTACATTACACCGCAACTACAACTCCACT